ACCCGCGCCCCGGCTCCCAACAGTTCAGGTGGGCACGCCACCCGGTGTTTCACGCGGGCGAGCGCTGCGGAACGCTCTCAACCTCCCGGCCATCGGACGCGGGCGGGCACAACCCGCGCCCCGGCTCCCAACAGTTCAGGTGGGCACGCCACCCGGTGTTTCACGCGGGCGAGCGCTGCGGAACGCTCTCGGCCTCCCGGCCATCGGACGCGGGCGGGAACAAATTTACGCCGACTCCCTCGCGTTGAGACGGATGCCGGCGGGTCGCGGCCATGGGGCCTCCCCTCGTCGAGATTGAGGTATTTTCTTTTTTGTTTCTTTTTTGTTTCTTTTACTTAAAAATTAATAACGTGGGAGCGAGAGAGAGACCGCGCTGAGGGGAAGACAACGCGAACGAGACGCGGGCGAGTCGTGTGACGTCACGCGGACCGACGTGGCCGTTGGACGCGGACCCCCATCCTCCCGCGGCGCGCCGCCGATAAAATTCCAGTAGCCGAACGGCGCCCATCGCTTTTGTATACCCCGCGCCGATAAAGTGACGACCCCCCCTCCCCCCTCCGGACCACCCTCGGCGTAAAACGCGGACACCCCCCCTCGGCGGTACCCTTGTCAACGATACGTTTATTAACATTTAATAAACATGTTCCGACATGCTCGCCGACTACCCCCCCTCCCCGCGGACCACCCGCGCCCTCGAGTCCCACCCCCTCCTTGCGGGCACCCTCGTCCTCGAGTCCCTCACCCCCCTCCCCGCGGACTCCCTCTCCCCGCTCCCCCTTGCCTGCAGTACCCCCCGCCCCGCTTCCCCCTTGCCCGCGGTACCCCCCTGCCCCGCTCCCCCCTCGGAGCTCCCGGGGTAGATCTCTCAAAATAACACCTACTAGTCTGTAATGTGATTTAGTCCGGACTCAATCCTAGGGGCAAAGTCTGTCGGTAAGGGGCAAAGTGTGTCGGTAATCAAAGCACGGAAATGCTGGTCTCGACTTTTGAGGGGCCATTGGCTATCTGTCTATTAATCTGTGATTATATCAAGCTTGATTCATAAGAATCGACTTAAAAATTCTCTAGCGGCACTTTCTGCCAAGCGTAGAGAACCTTCTTTTCCGTTGACTCAATATATATTATATATTACCTAATTTACCTAAATAGAAATCTTCCTCCTGGGGCCGTATTCTGTTCCGCTAAAATCCGCTTACCGACAATTGTCGGTGTCGTTGCGCAGCTTTTACACGATATGAAAAACCTGCGCAACGACACTTATCGAACCGACAGTTGTCGGTAGGCAGGAACGGAATACGGCCCCTGACCGATAAGTCTATCGACCTAATTTCGAAATACGCGCGCGATATCGAAACTGGCGATACCTGCGCCGCCAGCGTCGAAAAAGTGAAAGGGACGTTTCTCTGATAATCATAATAATATTGAGACGTCGGCGTTAGGAGGAGGAGGAGGAGGAGGAGGAGGAGGAGGAGGAGGAGTATCTTAAAAATAAATTTTCCCATTTGGACTTTACGTCGCAATATCTCCGCTTGTAGGGCACGTAGCGGAATATTATGAGAGAAACCCCCCCCTAATTGGACCTCAAGCTATCAATCAAGCCTACTTAGAACTTGATCCGTTCACTCGTTATCGAGATCTCAACATCTCGGGTACTCGCAACCCGTCGCGTCGCGTAAAAGAGTCACGGTCGGTCTCGCTCCGCGTGTACTTGGCGCGAGACACTACCGTGTCTCTTGATATTACTATTTAATGCGTTACTTGAAACCCTACAACATTTGTCTGAAACATTTTTTTCTAAAATACGTAGTTTTCGAAATATTTAGGGGTTAATCACCATACTTTTGGTGATTATATTATGTTTATCAGTTATATTGCGTTTTTCTATGTCTTCTAATATTTCAAAATCTACATTATCAATGTTCTCTAAATCCCTTTGCTCACCCTTAATTAATTCTTTCAAAGTTTTCCACATTTTTGTAGATCACTCTTATTATTATCTATATCATATTTTTATAATATTCCTTCTCTTTTGCCCTGATAAGTTTAACTACTGCATTTCTTTCATTCTTGAAATATTCCCAGTCCTGTTCCTTACCTGTGCTTATTGCTCTACTGTGTGCCTCATCCCTTCTAACTGCTGCCATTCTTATTTCATCTGAATATCACTTTTTCCTTTCCCATACTTTCGGAATTTTAAACTTTTTCTTAGGTGCTACAGTATTTAATACACTTACTATACTGTTAACAAATCTCTCAGCCCTTATACTTATATCTAGCCCTTGACCTTTCTCAGTTCTTTCTTCCATTATTCTAAGAAAATCATCTACATTAAATTTACTATAGTCCCTGCATCTAAATTCTTTACATTTATTTCTCTTTTTATTTATATTAAATTCTACTTTTAGCCACAAATGGTCCGTTATTTTAGGTTTCTCATTTACTTGTACCTTTACTTCCTAATTCGAAAAAATTAAATCTATTATTGTTTAACTATCCTTTTTAACTTTCGTTGGACAATCAACATACTGCCTCATCCCTAGGTTTTGCATTACCGTTAATAATTTCTTTGTATAATATAAATCTACCATTATATCTATATTAAAGTCCCCTATCACTATATAGTCATACTTTATTATTAAATTTTCTACCGTATCTTCCAAAAATCTCACGAAATCGCCATTTGACGCACTCGGCGAATGATACACTACTGCTATTATAGCTTTATACAAATTTTTTCTCATTTCTACCACCACGCACCAACAGTTTGACACTGATTTTTTCTTTTAAATTATCCTAAATTTAATATCATCTCTAACAGTACTCCTCCTGTATTTCTATTTTCAGCATCACATCTAACTATACTATACCCCGGTACATTGATCTTACTATCCTCAATTTCTACAGTCAATCTAGTTTTGGATAATGCTAGAATCGCAGGATTCACCCTCTTCATAATCTGATGTTGAATTTTGTCCTTATCCACCAATAAGCTTTGTGCATTCGTATATCAGAGTAATTCCGCTTCTTCCTGTGGTTGCTATTTTGCATCTTCCCAGCCGGCTCTTTTTTTCTCCTCCTCCAATACTTTCTTAAATGTCGGACATTCCGAATCCAACGTCTCGTGTTCAACATTTATCTTCAAGTTGTACGTCTGATTCTTATAAGGCGGAATTCCACTGAGTCAACATTTGGGCAACATGTCGCATGCGGCAATGACGCAATGCGACATGGAGTCTTTCAACCGAAGCAACATAAAGCTTCATGTAGCATGCGACAGTGTAGCATGCTACACTATGATTGGTGTTGCCGGTTGCATGTGCCATCTTTCAACAAAATTCAGATTGTTGAAAGATGTCGCCAGTTATCCGACAGTCAATGGATCGGTGCGGCTTGTAGCAAGCGACATGGAGTGGAATATCGAGAAAACCACATTATTTATTGAAGATTATCATAATTTGCCGGAATTATGGGACAACAAAAGTTCCGATTATAAAAATAACACGTTGAAAAATGACAAGCTAAAGCAGCTCGCAAGTAAATACAATTGCAGTGTTTTCGAAATAAAAAGAAAATTAAGAATTTGCGGACAGCTTTCCATCGCGAACGAAAAAAATTGCAAAACTTAAAGAAAAGTGGTTTATCCCCTAAGAAGGGAAAATGGTTTGCCTATGAACTATTGAGTTTCTTGTTAGATGTTGATGTACCAAGAAAAACCATGTCAACTATGAGTGATGAAAAAAATTCTGAGGTAAGTTTATATATATTTATTTCTTTGTATTTTATTTTATTACAACTTCATTAAATTATCAGTAATGATCTTGCCACGGTACATGTCCTTCGTCTGATGTAAAGTACCTCATAAATTCGTCCCTCACTTCTTTGGCTTCCAAAGTTGACCTCCGTGCTCTACCGCGTTTTAAATTCTTCATACCAATGTCGTCTTGCGTTATTGACCTCCATGATCCCGGAATAATGTTTCCATCTCGTGTGTCAGTATCAAAAGTTCCTTGAGGTGAATATAGTGCTTTCGAAGTTGTACTTTTTCTCAAAAAGTTATGCAGATAAATGCATGCCGTTGTGATAATCTCAGCATTTTCCACATTTAACATTTTTGGTCTTCTAAAGACACGAAAGACTGATGCTAACAATCCAAAAGCGTTTTCCACTACTCTGCGAGCACGTGAAAGTCTATAGTTGTAATGTCTCTTACAAGAGCCCTTCTCATGGTAGCCGGGAAAAGGTTTCATAATGTGTATCTGCAAGGGAAACGCATCATCCGCCACTAGAACATAGGGCGATAACTTATTACTTCCAGGAAGAGGTTCATGGGGTGGTAATCCCAGATTGTTTTTCGACCTTTTTTTGTAAAACGTTGTTTCACGAAACACTCCTCCGTCTGAAATTCTGCTTTGACAACCAATATCGGCGTACGTAAAACAATAGTTGGCGTCTGCAATGGCCATCAAAACAATGCTGAAGGTTCCTTTGTAGTTAAAAAAATTACTGCCACTGTTTTTTGGGTTTTGGATCACGATGTGTTTTCCGTCACAAGCTCCGACACAGTGTGGATATTTCCACGAAACTTCAAAATCTTTTGCAATCTTCCTCCACTCGTCTTCTGTGCAAGGAATCTGGAAAAATGCAATAGCAATTTTGGTTTATTTAGTTAGTGATTATATTTATACTCCAGTATTGTATTTGATATTAGTATGTTATTTTTATTTTTGTAGGAAGAAGATGACTTAGTTTCAGATACTCAAGATATTCAAAATACTGCAGATACTCAAGATACTCAAGCAACACTCGATGAATCTCACAATCAACGTGATAGGAATAAACGATCGAACAATGGAGAAGGAAGTCAAACTTTTTTTTCCCGTAATAAAAAAAATGAGGAAACAGCATTCGGCATCCCCCTCACATCGTGAAGAAGAAGCGTATGCTATTCTAAAACGTGCAGTTCAAAGAGATGAGTGTGCAACGTACGGAGAACATGTTGGAAATGAACTGCGAAAGCTTACGCCTAGAGTACAAACTATTATAAAGCATCTATTGAATAATATATTATTTAACGCGGCAATGGGTAAATTCAATAATGAGAATTTTTCCAGTACTTCTAATTCTCATTATTATAAGGAAAGTAGCGATAGAACACGCCCTCCCTCTTCACTTTACTCAAAGATTTCTGAGGCTACCGACAATACACAACAAGAAATTCCGGCTTTTCACATGTTGACTGAGTATTTAAATATGGACAATATAAACGATAATTTGTGATTTTTTGCATAAATAATAAAATAGTGACAAATCAATGGAATAATTAGAATTGGTACGTCTAATAATAATAAATTTAATTCTTACCTTTGCAAAATTACGTAGAACGTTGATCAAAACTCTGCATACTTCTGGAATAATTCGTGAAATACTTGTCTCAGAGATCCGGAACAGATACATAAGTAAAGGATAGCTGTCGCCGGTGGCTAAATATCTCAATGTCAATAATAATCTCACATCAGCCGGTATTGCATCACGAAAGTTGGTGTCCGATTTTCTTATAATCGGTGTAACCAAATTCAGCAAAAATTCAAAATCTTCTCTACTCATCCGCATAATGTTTTTAAATAAAGCGCTATCGTCCGCAACCAATTTATTTAAAAATTTATTTTCAGATTTTCGACTCCCAATAAATAGTTCTCTTCTCCACCACCTTGGTTTCCTTCGTTTTTTTCTTTTGCCACTTAACGCTATTACCAAATAAGCAGCTGCTGCTACCGTTTCCAATGACATGGCGCACGATACTGATGTTGCTTCAATGAAATTGATTAAGCCGCATACTACAAACACAAATGACAAGGCGCATACGACATTGGGCGACAAATTTCTCGTGCGACATCGAGTTTGTGGCACGGTTTGAAATCGCGCATCAAAAATAGGCGACACTAGATGACATGTGGCATACTACATGTCGCTTAGTGTTGCCTCAGTGGAATTCCGTCTTTATAGATACAGTTTACACACCTTCTATGCCGTCGTACATTCATTCGCCTTATGATTTCCTGCACATTTATAGCATGTTTCCTGTCTCGTGCAATTTTTGGCAATATGATAATAGCCCCAGCATTTAAAACATCTTCTAACACTAATATAATTAAATATAGAACACTTTCGCCATCCTAAATTTATTTTTACTCTGTTTATTAGTGATTTATGAGTGCTTTCGTCTACTTCAATTATTACGGATCCTTGCTCAATATCCTTATTTTTTCCTCTTAATATTTTCTTCACTAAGTGCATACAGAATTTTTTGCCAATTCTATTCTGTTTCTTGATTGTATCTATTAATTTATCATCCTCCATTTTCATTTCCTCTCCACCAACATTAATTATTTTAATCTTAAGTTTCCTCTTCTGTGGCTTCGAGATCTTGACCTCCTCACCCATTGCCGCTTGTACCGTCGCCTTTAGCTTTTCCTTCTCTTCTTCCGTCTCACATCTTAAGATCACTGTCCCTTTACCTCCCTTTCTTAATTTGGTAATTCCTATTTCCATCTTGGTTATATCAATTTTATTTTTAATTGTTTTCTTCGTAATTTTACTCTCTTGTACTTTTGGTTTTATAATCAAGATTTTTTCCTCCTTCCTCCTTTAATCATGTCGCTATATTTTCTTGACGCTCCACCAGATTGTCCATATGCCCCTTGCATCCACATTTTTCTTAATTCTTCTAATTCCTGTTTAAAGCCTCCCATCTCCTCACGGACTATTTCTTTTATCATTGACTTGATCTTCTTTTTACATGCTGTCTCATCTTTTAATTCTTTCACTGTTCTTACAAGCATATCTATTTTTCTATCGATATCCCCTGCTCCACTCGTGTCTCACTTTATTCCCGCTGCTTGTCGCCGGACTCATTTTTGCAGGTCCCGTTGTTCTTCCTGTCAATGCCGCTGCTTTATTTATATCAACTAATTTATTACCGTCACTAATAATGAACTTCTCGAATGGGCCAGGATACGACACCAATTCGCGGTTTCTATCATAAATTTTTTAGATACACAACCTGGATGGTAGAAAAGCTTAGCACAGGACTTGCATGCGATCACCTACGTTTTTATCGCCTTCTTACATGTCGAACATCGATACTCGGCGTATTCCTCGTTCATTCTGCTAATATCGGCAGAGACAGTTAATTCACTCGTCACTTTCACACGTCAGCGTTTTGTGTTCGCCGCCTACCTGTCGTACGAGGCTTCGATGACTTTTGTGCGAAATGCAGTTCTCGTGAGCGTGGAGAGGGAGAGGGAGAGGGAGAGGGAGAGGGAGAAAGAGAGAGAGAGAGAAAGAGAGAGAGAGAGAGAGAGAGAGAGAGAGAGAGATTGATTGATTGATTGATTGAGCTTTATTAGCCTTCTCAGCTATTTACATAACTCGGTTTTTTTCTTAAATTATGTCCTCTACATGAGGTACACGTTTTTCCTTAAATTAAATTCTCTACATGAGGTACAATTAACTTCTTTATATTTATCTCTTTTTTTATTCATATTAAATTCTACTTTAAGACATGCATGGTTCGTTATTTTATGTTTCTCATTCACTTGTTTCTTTCGCATACTCACATTTCCTACTATTTCTATCCTATCACATAAATGTTCTACCCTGTCCAAATCTACATTATCGATGTTAAATTTTTTATATTTATTTCTCTTTTTATTTATATTAAATTCCACTATTAGCCATGCATGGTCCGTTATTATAGGTTACTCATTCACTTGTCCCTTTAATTCCTTATTCGAAAAAATTAATTCTATCATCGCTCGACTATACCTATATTAAAGTCCCCTATCACTATACAGTTATACTTTATTATTAAATCTTCAACCGTATCCTCCAGATATCTCACAAAATCGCCATTTGACTCACTCGGCGAATGACACTCTACTGCTGTCACACCTTTAGACAAATTCTTTCGCAATCAACAGTTTGACACTATCTTTTTCTTATCACCTATCCTAAATTTAATATCATCCCTAACATATAACATTACTCCTTCTGTATTTCTATTTTTAACATCACACCTACATAACTATATACTATACCCCGGTACAAAACTGATATAATTTTTCCACTAGTCTTATTCTATCTATTGTATCAAACCCAGAGAAAGAGA